GCCTAGATTTTTGTGGCTGAAGCAAATTTCTCCCAGAGGACCGGAGTGCGCGGGGAGGATTATTATTATTATTAATAATAATATTATTATTATTTTACTGGAGGAGCCGCTCAGCTGCTCATTCTCGTCCTCGTCCTCCTTCTCCAGAGAGAAGAGCTCTGGGGGCTCTTTATTGCCGGTGGGCGGGCAGGCGAGCGAGCAAGCAAGCGGGTGAGCAAACGAGTGAGCGGGAGTGTGAGCAGGGCTGCCAGCAGGTAGGAAAGCCCAGCTGTTCAGCCTCCATTGCCCCTGCCACCCAGAGGAGCCTGGATCGGGTCCCTCCCATCCCGGAGCTGATCCCTCCCCAGAAGTGACATTGCTGCAATTCAGTTACATAGTGGGAACTGCACCTCGGCCTCAATTGCTTCAGTCACCCAGTGTCAACACGATTCGCGAACCAATTTAAATGTAAGTGGGAACAGCCCCCTAGGAAGCTATTTTATACAGCAATGCTGGGGGATGTAATCTCTTCAGATATTTAGGCATATCGCTCCCAAAAGAACCACCCATCCCAGTTATTGGTTATAGAAGTTGGAGGCCTCCAGAAACATCTGGAGGGTCAAAGGTTTTCCATAAAAATAAAACAGTACAGTTTTTCCTTTTGGATGTGGATGAGGAGTTTCAGATCAGAATGCTCCATAATAGACATAAAACTAGCAAGTTGTTAAGAAGAGTTTTTCTTGAAATACTAATCTATGTACAGCCATGAAATAGGGAATGGCAAACAAGTAGTGGCCAATTTATAGAACACTATTTATTCACATCCCCCTTTGAGACCATCTTTCTCAAATAGGAATGTAGGACACAGCCTTGTACTAAAGTAGTCCATCTAGATTCACTGTTGTTCCCATTGTCCAGTTATATCAGATAGGAGTCATTCCCAACCCCACTTCAAGGTGCTGGGAATTAAACCTAGGATCATATTCATGGAAAGCATGTGTTCTGCCACTGAATTACAGCCCACAAAAAACACCATGCAGCTTTGCATACACTGTTCCTCATCCATTTGACCAAATGGCCAGTTAACATGGCAATTAATCCAGCATTGACTTACTGCTGAGCCTTTAGCAGAAGAATGTGGGTACATGTTTGCTTCAGCCCTGTTTAGGTTGCTTAATGGTCACATCAGGATTTTTGAAGCTGTAGCTGCTTTACTGTCTCCTTCAAGTTCTCTTAGAGAAATTCTGAGATTGGGGGAACTTGGCCACCTTTCCAGTTTCTCCTCCTCTACACCAAATTGTTCCTATCAAAGTTGTTCTGAAACTTTGAAATGTCAAAATGCATGGTCAAACATATCCAAGACCAGTCTGCAAGGTTGTCCTGTGACTTGGCTTAGTCAGTTCCTATAGTCCTGGATGACTCTGTGGCATGCCAGCCTTCAGTTCTGTTTCTGGTAGTTTTGGAGCTGAGATTAAAGTATTTGGTCAAAATATAAAGACGTGGGTCATTTAGTATTTGCTCTGCCCTTATATGCAACACTCCTTGAAGCGTTTGGGCAGAGGGGAATGGATAGTAGTAGAAGGTGTATTCATTTTTATTGGGGGGGGGGGGAATGTGAAGTGTTATACAGTGTTGCAAGCTACATATATTTTGCCATTACAGTAAAAGGGATAATTAGAAGTAGAAGTAATGTATCTCTTGTCATCATACATGTTACATTTAGGATGGCACAATTAGTTGCAGAAGCATAGAATATCAGAGCTGGAAGGGAGCACAGGGGTCATCTAGTCGGACTCCTTGCCATGAAGGAATACACAACTAAAGTCCTCCTGAAAGATGCCCATCCAATTTCTGTTTAAAGACCTCCAAAGATAGAGAGTTCACCAACTTCTGAGACAGTCCATTCTACTGTCAAACAGTTGTTAAGTAAAAAGTTCTTCCTAATATTCAACTTTTTTCTTGTCACTTGCAACCATTGGCTCTTGTTCCAGTCTCTGGAGCAACAGAAAACAAGCTTCCCCTATCCTCTACGTGGCATCACTTCAGATATTTAAAGATGGCTAGCATGAAACCTCCCAGTCTTCCTTTTCCAAGCTAAACATACCCAACTCTATCCACTGTTCCTAACATGGCTTAGTTTCCAGACCTTTGACCATCTTGGATGCCATCCTCTGAACACATTCCAGCTTGTTACTATCCTTCTTGAACTGTGGTGCCAAGAACTGGACACAGTATTTCAGGTGAGTAATGGTACTATTACTTCCCTCAGCCTGTAGACTATAGTCCTCTTGATGTAGCCTACAGCTGATCTGGCTTTTTTTGCCTGATGTACTATCCTGCTGAGTCATGTTTAGCTTGTGGTCTACTAAGACTTCTAGATCCTTTTCATATGTCCTGTTGTTAACCGAGATGTCACCCATCCTATATTTGTACATTTGGTTTTCTGAGCCACTATGGTGGACTACACCTCTGGAGACCAGGGTTGTAACACTAGGCAGGTCATACTCTCTCAGCCTAAGAGGCACCTCTCAAATCAAATCTTTCTAAGAAACCCCTGTGATAGGTTCAGCTTAGGGTTGCCATAAGTCGAAAATGACTTGAGGGCAGCACAGCAACAACAAAATGTTCTTTTTACAGTACATGTCAAATACTTAAGTACATTCAGAATCATCCATGCCACAGGATTTCTAATTTGTATGTATGGCTGTAAAAGCTGAACAGTGAATAAAACTGAAAGGAAGAGAATTATCTCATTGAAATGTCCTCAAGCAGATTTCTGTGAATACCATGTACTGCAAAAAAGACAAATGAATGGGTCCCGTGTGCAAATCAGGTCTGAACTCTTACCTAGAAGCCAAAATGAAGATATCGTAGTTTGGAAGATATCATGAGACAACGAGACTCATTAGAAAACAATAGTAATGCTTGGTACAGTGGAAGGCAGTAGGAAATAGGGAAGATCACATTACAGATTAATGGACTGAATTAGGGAAGTAATGGCTCTGAGTCTGGAAGACCCTTAGCATGGTTGTTGTTCCTCATAAGGCTTGGTTTGCAGACTTTTGATCATCTTCATTGCCTTTCTCTGAGCACCTTTCTGCTAGTCAATATTCTTCTTGAGCTGTAGTGCCCAGAACAGGACACAGCATTCCAGGCAAGATCTAACCAAAGCAGAACAGAATGGTATTAATATTTCCCTCATTTAGAGCGCTGTACTGCTGTTGATGAAACCCCGAATGGCATTTGTTGTTGTTGTTGTTTGTTTGGTTGGTTGGTGGCTCCATCACACTGATGATGCACTCAGCTTGTGGTCTACTATTTCCTCTGTGTGTTCCCCATCCAAGACTGTGTTCTGTGTTCTCTTCTGTTCTGTCCAGGAAATTGCTCCCTAATATGTTGAAGTGTAGATACCCAACCCTCCAACCTCTGGACTTTCTCTTCCAACAGGGCTACCAACTTGCACTTAGTGCAGGTGAAGTTCCCCACATCCATAGGCAAGAAGATAAACATTCCACAAATGTTGCAGGTGACTGCAGCAGCTCCCTCAATGTCCATATTGAGAAGCCTTAAATAGGATTGGTGCAGGTCTCTCTTGTTACACTAAAACGCTGCTGGCTTTCTTAATACACTACCAGTATTCGGGGGCTGCTTCTCCTTTACACTGATTATACTGTGTAACTATATACCTCTTTACCTATTTACATTCCTCCCCTATATTTCCTTCCAGTATTGAAGGTGAGGGAATATACACTGGGTATATAGACCAAAGCCCATTATTGCTTTGCGCTGACTTGTTTCATTTGTTGTTAAGTCAAATTTGAATGTCAACGCTATGGAAACCCAGTGTTTCATCATCCCCCAAGTCACAATAATCTTTGCAGCAAATATAGTATTTAGCCAGCTAACGTCCTTCTGATGTTAAAACTGTTCCTTAAATTACTAAGGTGTGTTAACAAGAATGCCATGCTTTCAGTACATAGAATCTACTTTTGTAGAAGAAAAGAGGAAGGGAGGGAAGGAGGGAGGGAGGGAGGGAGGGAAGGGAAGGAAGGAAGGATAGATAAGGCAGGGAAGTAGCTGGCTTTGCAAACTCCGTGAGAAACAAGAGTAAGAACAAGACACAGTGGCAAAGAGAAGATAACCAATCTAGCTTGCATATTGCTTAGTCAGCAAGGTTAGGTATACCATGTGCATTTTCTGTTGCCCTGCTTGGACACTTTAATGGTGAATGTGGGAATCTTCAAGAGCTCTTGATTATAGGATCTCTATCTGCTGGCTTGAGGACTAATTAGAGAACAGCTTTCCACCATCACTGTTGTGGTTTGCAGCCAGAGAAGGCTCTCAAACTGCCCATGCTTGCTCTATCCCAAACCAGAGGTCATTAGTGGGGAGTTTTGAAGAGGAGACCCCGAGTTCTGTTTCAATACCTACTTCAGATTACTGAATATGGATGATGAGGGACCTGTTGCAGTCACCTGTGACAGCTGTGGTATGTTTGTCTTCTTGCTGGACGATGTGTGCAGCTATACCTGCAGCAATTGCAAGCTGGTTGCCCTCTTGGAAGAGAAGGTCCAGCAACTTGAAGCTTGTTTATCCACTCTTCAGTATATTAGGGGGCATGAAGTTTTCTTGGACAGAAATGAGCAGACTGTCCTGAATGAGGAACACACAGGGGATGTCTCTGAGGAGGAAGTCAGTCAGTTTCCATACAAAAGAAGTGTGACATGTAGAAGGCCAGAGTTCATTCTGTGTGCTTGGAGCTACAGAATCAATTTGATGTTCTCTCCCTTTTCAGATGTGATAAGGAACAGCAAGAAAAACAATGGTGTCAGTCCTCAGAGAACGATTCAATACATGGGATGGCCTCTGACAATCCTCTAAGGAGACATGTGGTTGTAGAATCATTGAATCATAGAGTTGGAAGAGACCACAAGGGCCATCCAGTCCAACCCCCTGCCATGCAGGAACTCAAAATCAAAGCATCCCCGACAGATGGCCATCTGTAGGGTACTCTTTCACAAAGGAGAGATATAGTAGTAATGGGGGATTTCAACTATCCTGATATTTGTTGGAAGTCAAACTCTGCCAAAACTTTAAGGTCCCACAAATTCTTCACTTGACTTGAAGACTGTTTTATTCTCCAGAAGGTGGAAAAGGCAACTAGGGAATCAACTATTTTAGATCTCATACTAACCAACAGTGAGGGTCTGTCTGGTTAATGGGGTGGAAATGGAAGGATCCTTAGGTGGGAGTGGTCATGTTCTCCTGGAGTTTGTTACACAGCAGAAAGGAGAAGCCAGGCATAGTCAGACACACATTCTAGACTATAAGAAGGCTGATTTCAGTAACCTTAGGGAAATACTAGCAATTCCCCAATACTATTAGCAATACTAATAGAGAAGGGGGGTTCATGAAAGATGGGGGTTTCTTAAAAGCGAGATATTAAAGGCACAATTTCAAAGTTCCAGTAAGGAGTACAAATGGGAAGTGTCTAAAGAAACCTGGATGGCTGTCTAAAGATTTTTAGATTGTAAGCCTGAGGGCAGGGAAATGTCTAATTAACCATTTGTAAGCCACTCTGATAGCCTTTTAGATGAAGAGTGGGGTATAAATATCATCATCATCATCATCATCATGAATTTAAAACTGAGCTAAGACTCAAAAGGGGCATGTACAAGAAATGCAAAAAGTGGTAAATTACCAAAGAAGAATTCAAACAAATAGCCAGCTCATGTGGGGAGAAAGGTCAGAAAAGTTAAAGAACAAAACAAGCTCAGGCTTGATAGAGAGGTTAAAAACAATAAATAGGGCAAAAGAAAAAAAACAAGGAAATGGAAGGGCCGATGCAAAATGCAAACAGGGAACAGAAAAAAGGCAGAATTGCTCAACACCTTCTATGCCTCTGCTTTCTCTGGTAAAGAGAACAGTGCCCAACCTGGGGAAAATGGAGCAGATGATGCAGTAGGTGATATGCAGCAAAGAATAGGTAAATTGGTAGTACATGAATACCTGACTAAGGAATT